GAAGGAAGGAAGGAAGGAAGGAAGGAAGGAAGGAAGGAAGGAAGGAAGGAAGGAAGGAAGGAAACCCAGGAACTGGAAGTGTAGTTGTTAGAGCATGAGTCCATCCTGAAAGCCTTATCTTCGATTCCCCACATTAAAAGTAAAGTATCTGAGTATGTCATGGGGACACACACCTTTAATCTCAGTGCTCAGGAAGCAGAGGCAGGAGGACCTCTATGAGTTCAAGGCCAGGCAAGTCTACCTAGATATTCTAGGACAGCTAAGGCTACATAGTGAGCCTGTGTCTCAAACAGACAAAAACCACAGCTGAGGAAGGCTGAGGCAGGAGAGTAAGAATGCCAGCTAGCTTGGCCAACATGAGGAGATCCTTTCTCATAATAAACAAAAACTGAGCCAGGACGAAAGGAAAAATATCAATAATCAAATGGCCCACTGTTTATTCCGGGCCATAGGGAAAGAACGAAAACTCTGAATTATTTAAAATTATGCTAAGGGTGGCATGTGGTCACATGTCTTTAGTCTCAGCACTCACTTGGGGAGCAGAGTCTGGTGGATCTATGTGAGTTAGATGCCAGCCTGATCTACAGAGCAAGCTCCAGGCCAGCTAAGGCTGTACAGTGAGACCCTGTCAATAATAATAATAGCCAGCATGGTGGTCCACGCCTGTAATCCCAGCACTGGGGAGGCAGAGGCAGAGGCAGGTGGATTTCTGTGAGTTCAAGGATCGCCTGGTCTACAAAGTGAGTCCAAGACAGCCAAGGCTTCACAAAGAAACCCTGTCTCAAAAATCCAATAATAATAATAATAAATAAATAAATCACATCTGCTAAGGGTTAAGAGGTGGCTCAGTGGAGTAGATGCCTACCATGCTAGAGACCCTTTATTCCATCCATAGTGAAAAAAAAGAAAGAAAGCTGGGCCAGGTGGTAGTGGTGGCTGGGGCAACCCACACCTTTAATCCCAGCAGGGGTAGGAGGATCTCTGTGAGTTCAAGGCCAGCCTGGTCTACAGAGAAAGTTCCAGGACAGCCAGGGCTACACAGAGAAAGCCTGTCTCGGAAAAAAACAAAAACAGTTGGGCATAGCAGCGCTGCCTGTAATCCTAGCACTCTGGGAGGCAGAGGCAGGCAGATCTTTGTGAGTTCAAGGCCAGCCTGGTCTACAAAGTGAGTCAAAGCTATACAGAGAAACTTTGTCTTGAAAGAAAGAAAGAAAGAGAGAGAGAGAGAGAAAGAAAGAAAGAAAGAAAGAAAGAAAGAAAGAAAGAAAGAAAGAAAGAAACAAGAAAACCAAAAGCAAGCAAACTCATACTATAACTGGTTGGTAGAGCATTTACCTAATATGCCTGACTCCCCATCACCAGACTAATCCCATATCCTGGCAGGGGACGTGCTCTATAACCCGGAAGTAAGGAAGCAGAGGTAGGAGGATAAGGGCGAGACGTGTCTAGGTTAACCAAGATTTTTTGTATTTAAGAAACTTTTAAAATGCTAAAATAAAATACTAGGAAAGAACTTAATTTAGAAGTATTGACGTAAAATATCCCAAATATTATCAAAATACATTGCTGAATTTGAGAAATACTATGGTCTTCTCTAACCAGTTTATCCCAGCGCCAGGGTTTACTTAGTAGCATAGAATCTATCAACATACTTCATAACAGTAACAAAATAAAGGGAAAATGATATGATCATATCAACAGGTGCTGAAAAATATGATTACATTACAACTGCCTTTTCTTAAAAAACTACACTGGTAACAGAATGTCTCTTTTTAGTACTGAAAGTGGACTGAGGGCCTGGTCCAGGCTACACTGTGCTCCTGAGCTGTTCATCCAGCAGCTCAGCAGCAAGAGCAGCTGCTGAGACCGTTTTTTCAGTTGGGATGAAAACTATATAGGGCTACCCACTAATTCTGGTTTCAGTGCATTGGAGAAGACCACAGAAAGGCTGGAGAGATGCCTCTGCAGTTAAGAGCACTGGCTGCTTGTCTAGAGGAGCTGGGGTTCCGTTCCTAGCACCCACTTGCTGGCTCACAACCATCTGTGACTCGTTCCAGGCGATCCAACACTCTCTTCTGGCCCCCTCGGGCACCAGCCATGAGTGTAGCGCACACACGCACGTGGAAAACCCCCCCCCACACACACATAAAACAAAAATAAAGTTCAGAGGTACTGAAATTGAGACGGATTCTCTCTCCAAACGAGAAAAGCCCATGCCCGTCATCCCAGCACCTGGGAGGCCAATGCAGGAGGACAGAAGCGAACTGGAGACCAGCCTACCCCTCGTCCAGTCTTTGTTTCAGAAACGGGGAGCTTTGCTTTTGTCGAGACAGAGCCTATAGCTCGATCTGACTTCAGATTCCCATTGCAGGGATGATAATCTTGGACTTCTAGATCTAGTCAGCAAGTTTCAACCTTCTTGAGTCCTGGGATTCAGGCATGCGCCACCACCATGCGCAGTTTTGTGTGGCGCTGGGATTAACCCTAGGGGCTTCTTGTATGTCAGACAAGCATATTCTCCACATTCCCAGGCCTCTGGCTCAGGATGAGAGAGGCGGTGGTGCTGCAGTTGAAGTCAGGGCTTTGAGCGTGCTAAGTGTGTTCTCCCCTATTGAACTGCACTTACAAACAAAACTACCACAAAGCCACAGGCAGGTTGAGTACCTAGAGGTCGCCAAGAGTGGTTCAAAGCAGTGAGTGCCGGCACAGGGCTCTACGGTGCAGCACGCACGGTTCACTTCCCAAAACTCAATGCTGAAAAGGGCAGGCGATGGGGAACTCTATTTACTGCTGTAAAATGTCAGACAGCATACTCCAAAGTCAGGCCAGGTCGGGGCGAGGACTCGGCGGTGAGAGATGCACACTGGTGTCCGGGGAACCAGTGCTTGGAGGCCTGGCGTCAGGTGCCTCCCGGCTGCCTGCCAGCTCAGCTCCAGGACATCCGGAGCCTCTGGCAGCTTCAGGCACTGCCCACGTGCACAAGCCCACACTCAGACACACATTCGAACACATAATCTTAATTTTTTTTTAAGTAAAAATTAAAGTTAGGAACTGGCACACACCTGCGATCCCGGCGCTCAGGAAGCAAAGGTAAAAGGAGCAGGAGTTCCAGGCCAGCGGCTTTGGCACTGAGCTGGCCTCAGCATTTGCTTAGAATAACTTTGCATTCGTACCACCGTGAATGCCAGAGCAAACGTGGCATCCAAGCCCTAGGGAAGAAAATTCTCATTAGCTACAGTCCATCCCTTCCCTCTATAGGTTAGGATCCGAGGTAGATACAGGCATGGTAGTGCGTGCCAGCACTCAGAAGGCCGAAGCAGGAGAGTTGCCATAAGTTCCAAATAATATATGTATATTAGAATCGTAGAGTTCCCAGTTTTGGTATTTTGGAATCAGCTTCACCTTGTCAGTTAATTTGTCTCAAAGCACTTACGAATCTTGTCTCCTAAACTGCAGCCCCAGCTTGGGTGCTGTCCCCTCTAAGAGAACCCCCACCCTACTCCGGAGGCCCTGACAGTGGACCACTCTGGACTCTGTGGTCACCGGCTCACTCTCCTTCCTCGAAGCCCAGGTCTGCCTTGTATGCTGGTCTCTAGCGTGCTTCTTCTGTGTCTGTTAACGTGGGGCCAAGGACTCTGCCCCTCTCATGGTGTGTACTCCTAGTGTGTGCCTGAAGTCCACACAGAGGCACGTTATAAATCTCAGCAGTGTGCACTCACTGAATGATATGGAAGGGGGGGAAGCCATGTTTGGGCCACTGGAAGGCAGAGGTCCAAGTGCGAGTCTACGTCCACGCTCAAGGCCTGGGTAGCCCAGGAACACCCAAACCCATCCTCCAACCATTTCTCAGGGTTCTTCCAAAGCCTCAGAAGAAGACAAGCACACAAGGCTCTGTGTATGATATATATTTATATATATAATCGCTCTCATTTTATTGTACTTTATCCTCTTTTTACAGTAGATCTGACACAGGCATTAAATAACTGCAGAGGGAGACCACTGGGTAGAAGAAAGAGCAGGAAAACCTGGGCACCCAACGGGAAGAGACACAGATCCAGTGGGAGGGAGAAGGGGGATCCCCTTGAGGGTGGGATAAGGGCTACAGTGTTAAAGGAGGCGGAGGTTAGGCAGGATAAGGGTAAGCAGAGAAACCAAAGGAAAATGCCTCCATAATGGAAGAAAACTCAGAGCCGGAGACCCTTACTTTACATTCTAGGGGCGTTAGAGGGGTTGTCTTTGTTTTTTAAAGGCAAAAGAATCTGAAGGAGATGGGTCCAAGAAGCCGGGAGCTGAGCTGGAGGGGGCTGCCTGAAACTTTGAGGCTGGCATGCGGACAGGGAATAAGTGAGTGGTTGGTTAGGAACTTGCAAGGAGTAGCCAGAGAGGATGGGGGTGGGCAGATCTGGGCTCAGGGAGTCCCCCCAGGCAGCTGACGTTTCCAAGGTGGCCACTGGGGATGGAGCCAAGACAGAGGCCCCTCCCCCAGAGCTCCCTGGGAAGCAGAACTTGAAAGATATTCTGGGAAGGCTGGTGGGGGAAGGGAGCCATCAGTTAAAAACAAAGTGGATATTCAGAGCAGGTCAAGCCTGCCTGAGTAGGAGCTGTTTGGATGACAGAAGAGGCCAGGAAGATGTTAAAGTCTAGGCCTACTAGGGAATTTTCTAGAAGAACTAAAGACTTCTCTTCCAGTCCTCCTCTGGAGTCACAATGGGGGGAGGCGCAGGATGTACTGGGAAGGTGGAAAAGGCCACAGAACCAACTTGTACTCTGCTACAAATGGCAGCTTTTCGGAGGGTATAGGGACGGGGAGAGAAGAGGGCAGACCTGCTGGAGGAACCAGAAGTCCAAGCCACCGAGATACTGGCTAGGTGACAGACGTGTGATGAGATAAAAGGAGAGTGGCCAGAGTGTTGGAAGGGGAGGGAAAACAGTATTCAGCCCTGGCTAACAAAGGGCTGAAAGACAGCCAGGGGTATGTGGGTGTGTGTGTGTGGTGAGTACGAAGGTGGGTGGGGTCCACCCCACTTTCTTTAGCTCTTGGGGGATGCAGAAACAGAAGCAGGAGCTGTACGGGCCTCTCAGAAACAAACTCCAGCTAGAGAAGCTCCAGCAGCCCTTGGCTTCATGCACGCTGGGCAAGTCCTCTCCCACAGAGGAACCAGAAATCTCCTAACCCCTCTGTGGCCATCTCCGGAGCCCATCTGTCTCTGGCTACACTACGGTGGGAAGATGTTTGAGACTGTGGGGATCAGGCTAGGTGGAGAACCCGACAGCAGGGGTGTGAGGCTCAGACAAGTCATAGCTCTGTTATAAAAAATACCTTTGGGGCGGGAGAGGGAGGGGGTCAGGCAGGGTCAAGGACGGTCCAGAAGCATCCAAAGGGAGGCGGGGGGAGAGAGCCTCAGGTTTTGTTGATTCGAAGTTTGAAGGCCACTCGGCCGGCGAACTTGTCCCTCTCGTCGTCTGTGGCGATGTTGGCAGCATTAATTCGGCATTCCACGTTCACCTCCACGTTGGGGGTCACATTGAGGAACTTCACAGCCACCAAGGGCTGCGTATAGTTTACCTAGGCCAGAAGAAGACAACGACTCAAGCCTCTGGGACCTTGGCCTGCTTCCTGATCCCCGTCAGGAGCCACCATCAAGGGCCTTCCTTGGGACTTACGTGGAACTTTTTGCCATAGTAGGGAAAGTACATGAGGTCAATGTTGCCATTGGCAGGGAACATGATGTAGTGGCCAAGATTCTCGGCATCTTCATCTCTCTGTGGGGTGCAGGAAGGTTAAGGGGAGAGGATGTCAGGACCAGCAGGCACCGGAAGAGCTCACCAGACTTTCCTTGTACCTCCTTCACCCCAACTTATTCCTCTCAGATTTGTTTTCCTTGATCTGTGGATCTGCTCTGTAGGTGCGTGTGTGTTTTTGTGCATGCATGTGCACAGTGTTCACACCCACAGACAGAGTGGCGTGTCTCCCCGCCAGGCTAGGTCTAGGGTGCTGACACAGCGGAGGCCTTCTACTCCACTATCAACCCCAAGTTCTTACCCCATCCTTGGGAATCGGTCTCTGGAGCAGAGCCAAGAAAGAACAGATAAACAGTAAGGGCTCCGCAGGAAGAAGGAGGAGGTGAATGGGGGGAGGGGAGGAGGGGCCAGGCAGCAAGTTTCTAGAGAGGACATAGTCAGGTACAGGGTTCCAAGAACAAGCAGTTGTAGCAAATGGTGCTAACTGATCAGCAGCTACCAGACATCTGAAGGGAACTGATGAGCAAGGCAAGACGGAAGGGCGAATGGAAGAGACACACAGACAACTGAGGTGAAAGAGAAAGTCCACAGGGAAGGAGCCAGGGGCCAAGGCTTCGGTGCGGGTGGGCATGGGTCTGTCTGAGGCAGAGCAGGCGTTCTGTATCCTAGAAAGAAGCAATGGGGCCAAGAGCCCCTCAGAGCTAAAGCTGCGTGGGGCCCACTCTTACCCCCTTATCCCTAGAGTGCTGGAGCCTCTGAAAGTAAAAGAGACAGGGAGACATGGATAAAGCACTCAGAGACCAGGACGTACACACAGCTGGGCAGGCAGGGGCCCGCACACTCACCTTCCCCACACAGGTAACATTCATGCTCTGGTTTGCCCCTGCATAAAAGTTGATGACCTGCAGAGAGAAAAGAGGGCTGGCATTAGAACCTGCCACCTCTTGGCGTCCAGCTTTCCTGACTGGCTTCCCATAGCCCGCCTCGTAGCAGGAACAACCAAAAATCAGCCCCAGTGAAAGGACACATTCGTTAGCAGATGGTGGCCCCAGCCCCCTCCTCCTCCTCCCCAGGGACCAGTGTCATGGGTACCCGGTTCATCTTGATGAAGACGCAGGGCTGCCCAGTGCTGTAGCCATAGTGGGTAGGGTCCCCAATGCCAGAGCAGTTGCCCAGCTGGGTCCGGTTGAACTGGCAGGCACGTTTCGGATAGTTGAGAACCCCATTATCTGGTTGTTCATAATATCGCCCGGGGCGGCAGACATCATTCTTCTGAGCTTGGATGGAGTCGTTGTAAGCTGGGAGGTGGGAGGGACAAAGAGCAAGTCAGAGGCCCCGTGTTCTGCCGTGGGGTCCTTGGTTTCAGTTCCTCCCAAGCTCCGGGACAGGCCAGCCCCACACTCACGTTCCAAGAACTTGTTGAGCTTCTGAACATGCTGGTCCCAGCTCTCGGGGTCACTGATGTTGACAATGACATCCAGGTTCTCCGTCTTGGGGCGAATCATCAAGCCTAGAGCCAACCCGAGCGAAGATGCGGAGTCACGCATAAGACAAGAAGAGACATGGCAAGGAAAGAAAGCAGACGTGAAGAGTAAGGGTAAGGGATGGTGCAAGGATCTGAAACTGCCTTCCTGGGAGGGCATCTGCCACCTCTCCAGATCACATGACTCCCTCCCGGCTGCAGGGCAAGGTAAGGAAGGCCAAGCTCAAGAGCTCCCCACCAAGCTCCAGCAGAAGACAACTGTGAGTTGGGGGGGGGGGGAAGGGCTCCACGCTGGGAGAGAGGCTGGCTGGTAAGGCCCCTGCACTCACCTGGTGTGGCCAGCCGGTCCTGGTACTTGGGAGTGTGGTCAGAGACGGTCTGCAGCATCACCCACATGGTGAGGGTGAACATGGCCGTGAGGAAGCCATAGAAGACGAGGTAGAAGAGGAGGATGAAGGCTAGGGGGAGGAACTAGAGTCAGCAGGTCCTATGTCTCCTGCATAGCCTCACCTAGCCCCCCGCCCCCACCCTTCCCTCTCAGGCTGTGCACTGGGCTAGGTGGAGGAGCCACAGGATGTCTGAGGGCCTTCCCCTGGGAGCCAAAGAAACAAGCTGCAGGCAGGCAAAGCCCAGCTCCAGCCCCGACTCCCAGCCTCCTCCTGGGGCATGCTCAAGTCCGACCTTCTGGAGGCCACCAGAGACCTAAACTGTAGTTGTTGTGACAACTCCAAGAATAGGCCACTGTCACTCTGCCTCTAATTACATTTCCAACTTCTCAACGTGCACGGTCCTGAAAAGGCATGGACAGCATTTGTTCCTGCTGCCCTGGAACTCATGCCTAGGGATGTCCTAGCATGAGGGCCCCAAGCTGGTACTGGCCTCCATTCTCAGCCAAATCCTTACCACCCCAGAGCCTAGCTACCACGGCTCAAATAGCAGGATGGACTGCTTGCTCGCTCGCTCTCCCACCCCCCAAAAAGCAGCTCCTGAAATGAGGCACTAACTGGCCCAGCCCACAAAGACTCTAAGAGAACAGAACCTCAGCATCTATACCACACAAGACCAGGGCCAGAGTCAAAGAGAAGACAGACCCTCAGCCCAGAAGCCTTGCCTGGCACCATCTCCCACCACTCCTCTCCTAGGCCTGCTGAGGAGGGCTTGCTGCTCCCTGCACCCCGAGCTAGCAGTGTCTTCACCTAAGGAGACACACTTCCTCTGTGAAGCGATCTCAAGCAGGGGTCTCTGGTTCCTTGAGGGCAAGGGCGGCTCGGAGGCCCTAAGTCTTAGGTGGGTGGTCTGATGAACACTGTGTCCAATCAGTGTGGATATAACGTAATGATGTCACACAGAATCCCTCGTGCTTCAGTTCTCCGGCTTGACACTGTCATTTGCAAGAACGTCAGTCACCCACACCTCACCTGTGCCGGCCTGGGGACCCCCCCCCCGACTACATTTAAAAAAAAAAAAACCCTGCACAGCCCTGCGATAAGGGTGGTGAGTCCCCCGGGCGTCGGAGTCCCTTGGAAACACCCATCAGCACAGTGACCGTTTGTCCCTCCGCCTCTGCCGCCTGGAGGAGGGTCGCCCCTCCCCGCAGGCCCCCCACCCACAGAGCGGCCGCGGAAGGCTGCGCGCGCCCAGCGGCGGAGCAAGACTAGCAACCTCCGCGGCGGAGAACGCCCCCCACCAAGACCCCCGTCAGGTCCGCCCCCTCGCGAACCTTCCCAGGGTCCAGGGAGGTGGGTGAGAGCTAAAAATAGACGAGGCTGGCTAGCTAGCGAGAGCCAGAGGCAGAGTTCGGGCGGTCTGCGGGGAGGGGGACGGTGACCGAGCGCAGCCGCAGGGCCGGAGCCGGAGCGGGAGCGCCGCGGCACGGACACGCGCGCGGAGCCCGCGACCCCCCGCCCGAGGGGGCTCCGCGGGGGGCGGGCGGGCGGCGGTGACCTACTTTCTCCGCCTCCGCACGGCCGGAGAGATTAGAGCGCCGATCCGGGCCCCTCCCCGGTCCAGAGCGGACAGCGGGAGCCGGGCGCCGGGGGCAGGAGCCCGCGCCCCGCAGGCGACGCCGGACGGCCCGCTCCCACCTCGCCCGCGCCGGCCCCGCGTACCCCAGCTGGTCCCGGTGCGCCCCATGAACTGGTGCGTCCGCGGGTTCCACACGAACTCCTTCCACTCCTCAACCACCTGCCCGCGGCTCTTCTTCTCTTTCTGGATGACCATCTCGGCGGCGCGGGGCGAGTCCCGGCGCGCTGCGGGGGGCTGCGGGGAAGCGGGGGCGGCGCGCGCGGAAGCCCTCCACGCACCCGCCGCGCGCGGGGAGCCGGGCGGGGGGCCTCGGGCCGGGCGGGCGGCTGCTGCGAGTCCCGGGGTCCACAGCCGCGCGCTGTGGTCTGCTGGCAGCGCGGCGGAGGTGCGCCGAGGCTAGGCCCCCCCCGGACTGCGATGGCAAGGGGGGCTGTCGAAAGAGACCCGGGGGAAGGGATGCCAAGGCAGCTTCGCCCCGCACACCACCCAGAGGCAAAACAAAAAGGGGTGCAAAAACAGACGGCTACCAAACCCGAGCGAGGTGCGGAAAACGCGGGGTGCAAAGAAGCAAGGAAAGATGGGGGAGGGAGCCGCCCCGAAATCCAAGACGCGAAGAGGCTGTGGAACACCGCAGTTGGCCCAGCCGGCGGGAGCTGGGGCGGGGACGGCAGTGGGGGACGGGCCGGAGAAGGGCCCGCACGGAGGCTCCGCTCGTCGGCAGCGCAGGAGCGCGGGCCCTGCGCGCGGTCTTTATACTCGGTGACTCTGAGGGTGTCCGCCCCCTTCCCACCCCCAGGAGCCCCGCCTCTCCGTGGCTCGCCCCAGAGACCTCATGCATATGCAAATTTGGAGATGCTTGGGCCCGCCCCCTGCTGCGTCCTCTGGTCCTAGAGGGCTCTGCCTTACCCCGGACCCCAGGTACTACACCGGAACAAGGTGGGAAAGGAGGGCAGAGGGTGTGTCTCGGTGGAGAAGACGCTTAAGCCCAAGGACAAGCTGAAACGTCCTCAAGAGTGGGGGCACGGGGCAAGGAATTGCAAAAGAAATTAAGGCAGTGACTTCGAAAGCCTCCGGAACAGAGGGCAGCGTGTGAGAGGAATAGAGAAAAGCGCCAGGCCCCCGAGAAAGAGCCAAGAAACTAGAATACAGACGGGGAGGGCCGCCGCCACAGGACGCCCTTCTGTGTCTTATTCCCACTGGCCCCTTTGTCCAGCCTACCTGTCCTCCGTGCCCTGGGGTCCCTGCCATCTCCCCACACATTATCTGAAGCCCCAGAATCACAGCCCCTCCCGCACTCTAGCTCTACAGCTTCCCAGCGCCCAGGTCAGCTCTCGCTCCCCATAATGGTGCTCCAGCTCTGAGGAAGCCAAGCCAGCCGGTTGGACTGAAGCCGCAGCTCCTACCGGCTTAAGGAGAAGAGCGGTCATCGTCTCGGCTTCGTTATGTGGCAGGAACACCAAGGCCCACCTTCGGGGTCGGAGGCCAACCTGCTGGAGTTGGTTCTTTCACCACCAAGTGGAACACAGGGCTGGCCTTGAAGAGACGCTCCTGCCTCTGCCTCCCAAATTCTGGATATATGAAAACATGTCGGCATGATTGCGGTAGCACTGGGTTTGTTTTGTTCTTGAGACAGGGTCTCATGTATCCCAGGCTGCTCTAGGACACTCATCTGAAGTGTCCAAGGATGAATTTGAACTCCTGATCCTCTGGCTTCGACTCTTGAACCCTGGGATTGCCGGTGTCCACCATCATATCCAGTGCCAGCCCAAATCCTGAGCTGCGATCCCCCTTCCTCTGCTGAAATCGCAGCTGTATGCATGTGGCCACGTCCGATTGTAACTCCAGTTTTACTCCAAGCTTTTCGAAAGTAATTCCAGCATTTGAAACTGTGAAATGACACGATTAAACTGAATGGTGACCATATCTGGATTCAGCTTCTTGGGAGACTGGGGGAAAAGGATTGGTTGAGGCCAGGAGTTCAGAGTCAGTCAGGATTAGATGCTAACTCAGAAAAATAGAAGAAGAAGAAGAAGAAGAAGAAGAAGAAGAAGAAGAAGAGGAGGAGGAGGAGGAGGAGGAGGAGGAGGAGGAGGAGGAGGAGGAAGAGGAAGAAGAAGGGAGCCAGATGTGCTAAGCCATGCTGGTAACACAAACTGAGTGTGTGAGGATGACTTTTGAAGCCAACCTGGGCTAATAGAGAAATCTTGTCTCAAAAATAAAGCCAGTGTGTGTGTGTGTGTTTAAGGCCAGGAGACTTTATGGCGTATTGAAGTAGGAGAGGCGACAGACTTGAACAGCGATGATGAGATGTGAGGGTGAGTCACAGACCTAGTCCAGAAGCAGGTGAACAGTGGGAATAAGGCAGCGAAAGGAATCCTGGCCGGACCTCAGCTCTTCTCCGGAGCGCCTGGATCAGGAACTTCACTTTGTCTATGCCCTTCCCCACCCCGGTACTGAGAGCTGGACCCCAGGGCCCTAAATATAACAGGTGAACACTCTATCCCTGAACCATCCTCCCCTACCCTAGGCTCTAGGCTCCTTGACAGTAGGCCTTATCTTAGCAAGATAATGCTGCTGGTGAATTAAACGGAAACTTGGAACGGCTTCTCCTTCAAGAAACCCCAGGAAAGCAGTCTGCTGTCTCCAGTAGAAGAGGGGCACTAAACTGAAAGCACACGCACGCACGCACGCGCGCACGCGCACACACGCATACACACACACACACACACACACACACACGCACACACACACACACGCATGCACGCACACATGCACAAACGTGGCAAATACAGCCAATGGTGGCCTCCAGCTTCTTGTCTCCGTCTCTACCCTGGGCCCCAGGCTCACTTGCTTAGAAAGAAAGGGAGAATGCCTTCTGGCCACTAGAGGCAGGTCACTGAACAGGATGCCTGCCACCCCCCCTCTTGTGACTTCCATAGGTAAGGAGGGACAGGGAGGGAGGGACCAGTTCTGTACCCGCCGCCTGACCCCCAACCTGTACTCAGAGGGAGCCGAGTTGAGAAAGGCCCCGTGGTGCACCTGGGGGCAAAAAATCATTAAACCCAGCCTCGGCCTGGCTACATCCGGCCTCTGTGTACAGAGCCCTGGGCCAGTCCCAAACAAAGGGGGAGCAAGAGGAGAAGAACCTGCTCTTTGGAACCTGCCTCCATCCAGGGTCTGCCCCTTCTCACTGCCAGAGGGGGGCGGCCTACAGGCAAAAGTCTATGCCCTCACATGCCAGAATTCCAGGAGTTAGCCTTTTTCCCCATGATTTACGTGTGTGTGTGTGTGTGTGTGTGTGTGTGAGAGAGAGAGAGAGAGAGAGAGAGAGGATTTTCTGAGGACTAGGGGAAGTTGGTAGTGGGAAAAGGGTAGGAGGGTGGGGCCAGGAGGAGACGAGGCAGGGGGGAGACAGTTGGGATATAAAATGAATAAATTATCAAAAACTTAAACTTGTAGGACTCGGTTCTCTCCATCCATTTTACGGAAGTCTGAGGAATGAAACTCGGGGAGTCATGCTCGGTAGCCTCTTGGTACCAGCCAAGCCATTCGGCCCTAATAGCAGGATTTTGATGGGTGAGTTAAACAAGGTGGATCTTTGCAAAGACTAGGAAAGCTCAGGGGTTTTGGTTTTTGTTTTTGTTTTTTTACAAGCTGGAAGGAACCTTCCTGGTACAGCTCAGTGATGGAGCAATTAGCACTGGAAAAAAATATTTCTCTGGATGGGTAGAGGCAATATTTGTACAACATGCGAATAAATGTCCTTTGTGCCCCTGAGATGAACAGTTGACGCTGGTTAGGAGGGTAAGTTCCAGGTTGCTTGTGTTTTGCCACAATTAAAACAAAACAAAACAGTAAGATGAAAACACAAATGTTCCTGCCCTGACCAGATGGAGCCCAGGCGCTCAGCAGGACACACCAGGCCTCCATCACATGACCCAAGGAGCCTTGCTTCCTTCGCTCTCCGGCTACCCACGGCTCAGCCACGTGACGTGCCCTCGCTCTGTGGGTTCAGCAGCCTGAGATCCCCTCTTCAAGCGTGGCATCGATAAAAAGCGGCGGTGAGCTCACATTGGGCACTTTTCACAAGCCCTGCGGTAGGTGTTTTCACCTATGTGAGTCCGTCAGATCTTCGGAGCACCCCCAGACACAGAAAAGCCAACTTCTGTAAGTTCAAGACTGGCCTGGTCTACCTAGTGAATTCTAGGCCAGCAGGGGTTACATAGTTAAACCCTGTCTAGGTAAAATGGTGGAGATTGAGAGTTAAAGTCATTTCTTCAACTTTGAGCCTCTAATGGCTCATCCTTTTGATGAAATTAATATCTAGGTCACCTGGTGTCCCGTTTTGTGGGGTTTTGTTTTCCTTCCTTCCTTTACTTACTTATTTGCTTACTTCGGTTTCTCCAGGCAGGGTTTCTCTGTGTAGCCCTGGCTCTCCTGGAACTCACTTTGTCCAATAGGTTGGCCTCAAACTCACAGAGCTCTACCTGCCTCTGCCTCCCGGAGTGCTGGGATTAAAGGAGTGTGCCACAGCACCCGGCCTGTTCTTAATAGCATCTCACAAACGTGTCTCTCAACACCCAGGGTCTACAGGGACCATCAGGCCTGCTTTGTCCTTAGAACCCTGCAATGACAGGGCTTGGCGTCCTGTCGGTAGCCAATAAATATTAGTTGAAAGAAAGAGAGAGAGAGGACGGAGCAGACAAGCGGGGAGGGAGAGGCAGCGGCCAGGGTGGATGAGAGGAGTAGGCCAGGCCTTGAGGCTTCAGGGTGTGCTGCCAAATCTGGAAAGTTTTATTTTGGCGGGGGCTTGGGGGCTGGAGAAGGCGAGGGATGTTGAGCGGGCACAGTGGATGCCCTTGGTGGGGGCTTGGCAAAGTCTGCGTCGAAGCAAAGTCAGTCTTAATGAAAGAGTGTAGACAGCTCTGGACTGCGGTCAGGAATCTGGGAATCTAGGGCAGGCTGGAGAAGAAAGGTTGGGGGCACAGTGTCCCGCAGAGGACAGGGTAGAGGCAGAGGAGAAAAGCCAGCCTCTGAGACATTCTGGGCACACAAAGTCAGGAAGTTAGGACACGGAGCCCAGCCCTCCCGGATGGACTCCTGCGTGTATACAGGCTCCTCACTCTGCTCCCTGCTCCCTAACACCCGAGGCTTCCACCAGCCGAAGTCTCATTATTCAGGTATCCACGCCAGCAACAGACCTCAGAGGCCTTTCCTGATCACCTGCTGCCCCACCCAGTACAGCCACTTCTTCCTCCCTCTATTCTGGTCTTGGCTTTTACTCCCTACTTGAAATGGTGCTTTTTTCAGGGAAGGTGTTTTTGTTTTTTGTTCTGAGACAGGTCTCAGTATGTAGCCCTGACTGGATCAGAACTCTCTGTGTAGACCAGGCTGGCCTTGAACTCACAGGGATACAGAGATCCTCTTGCCTGTGACTTCCAAGTGTTGGGGTTAAAGGTGTGCACACTACACCCAGCTTGAATTTTTTTTTTTATTTGTATTATAGGTGTTTTGACTGAGCGTGTCTACCCATCAAGTGTGTGCAGTGCCCACAAGGGCCAGCAGAGGGTGCTGGATCCCTTGGAACTGGAGTCACAGACAGTGGTGGGTTCTGAGAAAGGAATCTCAATCCTTGGGAAGAACCACAATGCTCTTAGCCTCTGAGACATCTCTCCAGCGCCCTTGTTTGATTTTTAAAGCGTGGTCTCATATAATCCAGGCTAGCCTTGACTCTCTATAGCCAAGGATGGCCCTTGAAGTCCTTGTTCCTTCTGATCCCGCCCCCCAAAACACTGGGATTACAGACTGAGCTACCAACCTAAGTACAGTTTTTGTTTTGTTGAGTTTTTAGGTAGGGTCTCTGCAGCCCAGGCTGTCCGTGCTGTCTCCTTCCAAACCCTGAGATGACTGGCAGGAGCCACCTACTGTTGCTTGGCATTATTGTCCCCTCCTACCATACAGCGAGAGCCACAGCAGTAAGAATTGTGTGTGTCCTTTTCACCAACGTGGCCTAGGTGGCCAGAACAGAGGTTGACACACAGCCTCTGTCAGCTGAATGAACACGCCCAGGTGGCCAAGGCCTCAGACCTGAATGTGGGCTCCCTGGTCACGCTGAGCAGTGTGTGTGTGTGTGTGGGGGGGGGAGCTAGGCTTGTGCCTTCCTGAGACCTCCTCAGTCTGCAGCCATCAAGGCTGCCCTGGCTGATCTCTGCTGTCCAGGGGGTGAGGCCCCATGGCTTGGTTCCGGGGGGGCTGGGGCTTTGCATGCAGTGTTTGGTAGGGTGCCTGCCTACCAGGCACAAAACCCTGGGTCTCTCTCCAGTCCCCACAACTCTAACTTCGTGACCCACACCTGGGAGTTCAGTACGGGCAGAGGAGCAGAGGCTCAGGGTCTTCCTGGACTACAGGTCAACTTTGAAGCCGGCATGGATTACAGCAGATCTTTTCCCCACTGAAAAAAATAAAAACCGAAGAAAGGCAGGGCGGTTGTTGCAAGATATTTGATCCCATCATGAACCCCAAAACTGAACTGTAAAACCCCGTTTCTTGCTTGGTGTGGCTGAGCCCTGTGGCACACCTTTAGTCCAGCAGCTATTGTTATTGTAAACAGCTGATAACGGTGTGCCTCAGCCACGCACGCTCCTTTAATGCAGAGGCTCTCTGTAAACAATGGAGGTCTAGGCCAAGAGCAGAGCAAGAAACCAGCGGGCAGGGATTAAAGAGTAGGAGGGACTTTGAGTTGAGGGGTATTTAAGACAGCATGGAGAAGAAAGGGCTATTAGCCCAAACTCTGGCTTTAGCTTAGGCTTCAACTCCTCAGCTCCCTGGCTTTTTGGGATTTAAGCTAGCAAGCTTTTGGCCTTGGGTTTTTTGGTCTTTTCCTCCTGGGCTGTGAGTTGAGCTAGAGAGCCTTTGGGTTTTTGTTGTTGTTTTTGTTTTTCCATCTGGAGCAGAGCTGAGAAGGAAGGTCCCCTGGGTGTTTTCTCTGCCTCTCTGAGCTAGCAGGTTTTCACCTCAGCATCTGGCTCCTGAGTCTTTATTAGGAAAATAGAACAGTTGGGATTTTCATCTTTGTTTATAACAACAGGCAGCGGTGGCACGCGCCTTTAATCCCAGCATTTGGGAGGCAGAGGCAGGTGGATCTCTGCAAGTTCGAGGCCAGCGTGGTCTACGTGGTCTACAGACTGAGTTCCAGGACAGCCAGGGCTACACAGAGAAACCCTGCCGTGGGGTGGGGAGTGACAAAAACAAGTAAGTAACTAAATTAAAACAAGCTCTCTCTATTCTCTGTGACTCTATGTGGGGTCAGCCTGCTCTACCTCCCAAGTTCCAGGGCAGCCAGGGCTACAGGGTGAGACTGAGGGACGGAACAGAGGGCTTGAGCCTGGGGACTGTGGCAGCTAGAACCCAGACTCCTCCTCTCCTCCTCCTCCTCCTCCTCCTCCTCCTCCTCCTCCTCCTCCTCCTCCTCCTCCTCCTCCTCTTCTTCCCCTCCCCCTCTTCTTCTTCTTGCTCCCCAACCCTTCCTCCTCCTTCTTTTTCTTTCAAGGCAGGGTTCCTCTGTGTAGCCTTGGCTGTTCCAGACTCAATTCGTTGACCAGGCTGGCCTCCAACTCACAGAGATCCGTCTACCTCTGCCTCCCGAGTGCTGGGATCACAGGCGTGTGCCGCTTTGCCCGGCTGACACAATGGCTCTAGTAAGAGCTGAGACCTGGAGCCGGAGGCTTGGGCATGAAGGTTCCCGCGGACAGTGAGGGCCGCCGGTGTTCTCCCGGGGCGTGGTAAGTGAACTGGCTCGCGGTATTGTTTTTATTTCTAGGCAGGGTCTCAGGCTGGAGACGTGCTTTGGTGCGAGTGCGGTTGCCTAGCACGCACACATCCTGATTCCATCCCCAGCACCGCAAAGCACACGCAGACAGACCCGCAGGTCTCCGCCGCGCTGCACGGAGGTCGCCGGTGAACTGCAGGACCTGCTCAGGCACCAGCCACCACGCCTCCTCCCGGATGCCGCGCACCCTCCCTGGCTTCCAGCGTGCTGGAGGGAGCGACACCCCCAGTCCCTCTCTTAATTCTTTGACTGCAGAAATTTTCCTGAATCTGCCTTTTCTCTCCAGTTGGAACCAGGACAGACCAGTTTTTGTTTAACGGGAGAATACTAAATCCTCTGTGACAGCAACAAAGACGAAGCGCGGAGAGTTGCTGCTTTGACCCCTCTGCCCCTTTTGCCTCGCTCCTTTCCATTCCTTCCCGATCTTTCCCAGAACGCCTTCCCCATCTTTCTGCAGCGCTCTTACGCCCCCTGCTGCCCCTTCCCTGGACAGCAGTGGCCGTGCCGAATTCTCCCACTGACTTGAAGGAGGGAAGCTTGAGTCTAGGTGGGGCGTGGGGAGAGGGCAGGCTCCTGGGCTCAGCCTCCGGAAAACTCTCTCTGCCTTCCCTTCTAGGGCATAGCCTCCGGTCTCTGCGCTGCCACCACTGAGCTTTTGCAGCACATAATTTCCAATTGTGCTTCTCTCTGTTGCCTGTGAAGCAAACCCGCCTCTCCCTCGAGTCCAGGAGCCCCAAAAGGAAGCACAGTTGCATTTACTCCTCAATGCATCTCAGTGCTTGCCACACTGCCTGGCTCACTGCCAGAGCACGGTAAATATTTGTTGAATAAATGGGCGAGTTGCAATCAAAGCTCTTTATTTTTAAAGACAGGGTTTCGCATGGCCCAGGCTGAGGCCTTACCCGCCCAGCATTGTCTCTCCTGGGTGTATGGGCATGCACCACCAGGCCTGCTTCTCAAAGGGGCTCTACAGGGAGGTGCGGCTGTCATTGCCCAGGCTCTGAGGGCAGCTGTGAGTCCAGATGCCCTGGCTTCTGCTCAGGGCCCGGTCTATGTCCAGTCTCTGCCCTTGCACCCAGAGATCACTCAGGCAAAAGGAGACCGAAGAGACCTCTCCTAGAGGGAGGTGACACAAAGCATCAGGACTCAGGCCCTGTGGCTCCAGCCCCAGAGTCTGAACTCCCACAATCACTTAGACCAAGGCTTGCTATGTAGCCAAGGCTAGCCTGGCACATGCACTCTTCATGAGCCTCCCAGTGTTGACTGTAACACACACACACACACACTTATGTATAAGTATGTATATCACACCTGGCCCCCTTCTTGCTCCTGTTTTCTAGTTATAAAACCGTGGGCCTTGGGCATACTAGGTTCATGCTCTGGGCCTGGGCAGCACCCCAGAAGTCCCCCCAGAGGTCTCCTTCCCCTCAGAACCTGTTTTCCTTCCCTTTAGCTGATTTACTCAAATAGCATTCTCTTACCCGGTAAAGCCCCAAGGGAGAGGTGGCCCTGAGGCTGGGACCAGAGGGAGGCAATTCTCGAAAGAGACCCAGAAAGGGCTGCCATCTTCTGTCCTTGGCTCAGCACCACTTTGAATATATCCAGCTTCAGCCGGAGAGGGAGCCCCATGTCCAAGGGGAACACGAGTCTGGAGTCTGCTTCGGAGGACAGCACCACCTCCTGCGGTGTGCAGGCAGAGCCGGGGTTAGGAGGAAGAATGGGCCATCACAGCGCCTGGCCCCTCTGGTCTACACTGCCACGCAGTTTCCTGGCCTGGCATTCTACGAAACCATCCCCAGCCCCAAATACACATGTTTGCAATCTGTGAACAGCTACAAGGTAGTTCCCTGATCTGAATGCCCTCTTAACCCTCCCTGCTACTAAAACCCTTTCACTGTATTTCTCCCAGAATCCACTAAATCGAGCCAGCAGCCCACCCTCCCCCTTTACCTGATCTTGCAGGTGAAGGGTAAGCCAAGAAGAATTTGTTCCTGTCCCAAGAGAAAGGAGACATCCTGAGCCATCCACCAGCTTAAATCCCAGCTCCAGAGAAAAGGTCCAGGGGGCTGTGTGAGGCTGCGGAATGTCTAGGGGAGAAATGATCTTCCTCAGGCCTTGAGGCTTGGGCTTGGGGGTGGGAGCGTTGGCTCAGTGGTTAAGAGCAGTTATTGTTGTTAAAAGGACCAGGGCTTGATTCCCAGGTCCCACGTGGAAGCTCACTACCTCCTCAGGCACCAGGCAGTCTCGTGGTGCACATCCAGGCAAAACACCCACCCACATAAAATAATAAAAAATAAACCCAAGCCGCGTGCGGTGGCGCAAGCCTGTAATCCCAGCGCTCGGGGAGGCACAAGCAGGCGCATTTCTGTGAGTTGGAGGCCAGCCTGGTCTACAAAGCGAGTGCAGGACAGCCAAGGTTACACAGAGAAACCCTGTCTCGAAAAACAATAAACTAACTAAGTGTAAGATTTGGGTTTTAGGAAGAGATGGACACATTGTTAAGGAGGGGAAGGCCTTGGAGAATTTTTAAAAGTCTACCTCGCAGACTGAATTCTGCATGGGTCCCTGGAGGAAAGAACAGCCCAGGTTGCCAGTCCACATCACACCTTCCCGGGCTCCCCGGGGCGGAGGGTGGGAGCTGAGCCTCCTGGCCCAGCCAGGTATCTCGGCGAATGCAGCCATCCAGGGCAGGAGCCAGCTGAAGGGGCGGAGCCAGGGCATCTTAGCTTTCCCTCGCAGCTCTGACTCCACCCCCTCTCCCGGAGACCTGAACTCAGGTTTCCGAAGCTTGGCCCGGGGATGTAGTTACCGGAAACCGGAGGCTGGAGGTGGGGAGGAGGAACCCCCCTAGCGCAATCCTCATGCTAGGCTGAGAATGGTCCAACAGGGACTCGGAGACTTGTCTCAGGCTCAGCAGCTCCTGCCCGTCCACCCACAGCAGCAGCGAGTCCCCGTTCATCTTCAGCTCCACCTACAGGAGGAGGGGGTCGGAAGCGGAATGAGAGGCCCTGAGCCCGCCACGTTCTTCAGGGGCAGCCGAGAGAAGGTGCTCTCGAGGGCCCGACGGAGGCTCACGCCGACGTGCTGACTGTGCCACCTGACGAAGCAGGGACGGGGGCAGCTGCTTCACAGGGACTGTGTGCAGCCCAGACGGAGAACCACAGCCAAAGCGCGCTCCGTTCTCCTCGGAGAACCCGCCCCACACAGGAAGAGCTCTCTCACCCGGTGCCATCTCCCATCGTTGAGCTGAGGGCCAACGCCCACTGTGAGCCGAGCCCAGGGGCTGTGCAGCTGGATCTCAGGCTGGCCCTCCCGGAGCCCCAGCAGGAACCAGTCTTCCTCAGTGTTGGTGTCTCCGTAAAAAATCACTCCCTCTGGATCCCAGGTGCGAAACTCAAAGGAGGAATAGGGCCTGGGGGACACCGAGGAAAGGCTGTGTGTGGGGCGTGCGGGGTTTCAGGGCTGGGGGAAGAGGTACCTGGCAGATAATACATGGGGAAAGGGGACGAGGAGACGGGGGGAGAGGTCCGGTGGGGGCTAGGTTGAGAGGCCAAGCGACTCGCATACTTGCTGACTTTGGTGAGGTCGATGGTCATAACAGTGACGGGCTCGTGTCCTGGGCCATTGCTGAGGTACCTAGCAGGAGGGACCTGAGCACTCTACCCGAAAACAAACAAAAAGATAAATGAGCTGACCAAAGACATTTCAGAGACAGAAAGGTAGAGCCACGGGGTCAGAGGAGGAGAGGAGGGAGAAAGACAGAGCCACGTGCAGCTCGGTGAAACACCGGGAGGATGAGAGGCCTACCCCGTTTTGCCCCTGGGTAGGGACTCCGTGTCCCTGGGCCTGACCCTGCTGGATGTGGGACGGTGGGAGCAGCAGCAACAGCAGCAGCAGTCGCCACCGGTGCTGGGAGCCTACAGATTCTCCAGTCCCCATAGTTAGCTGCCGTCCGCTCTGTGGCTCAGGCCGTCTGAGGAGAGCCAGACGGGGGAGGCGGCCTTGCACAGGGGTGGTGAGGCTTAAAGGTTGTTCCGTGGGAAGAAAGGGGACAGGAGATAGGGACATTGACCTTGTGGCCTCTCTGAAGGCAAATGAGGTGAGGGACAGAGTCCCTCCTCTGTCGTACTCCTGCAGCCAAGATATATATGTGAGGCCACCAGTCTCTTCCCCTCCCCTGCCATCCAGTGCGGCTCCTCCAAGCACAAGGCCGCCTTGGTAGACTTGAGATCTGGAAACTGACCTCCTAATTAGCATCCTCTATCTGGGCCAGCGCGGGGTGTGGCCCCAGATATCTCGGTGACTGGCCTTGGGAGACTCCCGTCACCCCTGCTTCTTGGCCTTGTCTGTGCTGAGGAGCACAGTCCCGCCTTTACGTGAGTTGTGAAGAGGACGGCAGCCATGCAGGCAGAGCTCCCGGAGGCTGATAGCGCGCCTCCCTTCATTTTCCCAGACCCATGGGGCTGTTCCCACAAGAAGGCACTGTCTCTCCCTGTGTGTTAGTGGATGCTAAGAAGAAATCTGCCAATAACTGAAGCACTGGGGAGATAGAGGCGGTAAAGTCGTGAGTTCTCGTCTAAGCTGGACTACACAGAAAGACTGTTCTAAGAGTGGCTAAGAGCACCTGCTGCCAGACCTAGTGACTTCAGTTCACTCCACAGCATCCAGATGATCAAGGAGAAAGTTTACTCCTGAAACTTGTCTTCTGACTTCCACAAACACACGTGCACACGTGTGCAAAGGCACGTGTTACACACACACACACACTCAAATGTTTTGTTTTTGTTTTTTTAAAGGAAGGAGAAATATAATTTAAGAAGCAATAAATACTCTGTTTAATCCCATCATTTGGGAGGCAGAAGCATGTGGCAGGTGGATCTCTGTGAGTTTGAAGTCAGCCTGGTCTACGTTGCAAATTCCAGGCCAGCCGTTAGTTAAGTGTATTTGTCTGTGGCATGAGGCTGCAGGGCCAGGGGAGGCCAGAAGAGGGCGTAGGGTCCTCTGGAGCTGGAATCACAGGTATTTGCCAGCCTCCTGATCTGAGTGCTGAGAACCAAACTGAGGCCCCTCCCTTACTCTCAGCAGCTAGAAGGCAGAAGCAGAGGGAGGTGCAGGCCAGCCAGTTCTAGGCCAACCAAGGCTACATAGCCCTGTCTCAAAAGGAAGAAAAGGGTGGGGGTGGCGGTGGCACTGGAGAGACGGTTCCAGGGTTCAGAGCACTGGGTGCTCCTCCAGAGGACTGGCTTCTGTTCCCCTCTCTCACATGATGGCTCACAACCAGTGGTAGCTCTAGTTCCGCAGGCTTCAACACTCTCTTTTGGCCTGTGCAGGTTCCAGGCTTGTAAGCGTTTCACAGATACACATGCAGGCAAACAGCCATACACATAAAATGAAATTTAAATTTTTATATGTTAAAAAGACGTGGCGCACGCCTTTGGTTTCAGCACTCGGGAGGCAGAGACAGGCGGGTCTCTGTGAGTTTGAGGCCAGCCTGGTCTACAGAGCAAGTCCAAGACAGCCAGGGCTACACAGAGAAACCCTGTCTCAAATAAAAAAGGAAGAACCCAACTTCTAACCCAGGTCCTCTGGAAGAGCAGTGATTGGTGTCTCTGAGACTGCTGAGCCATCTCTCCAGCCCAGAAAATAAACGCACTAAAACAAAACAAACAAACAAACAAACAAACCCCAAAGGCACGGGGCTGGAGCGACAGCTCGGTGGTTGAAAGCGCTGGCTGCTCTTCCATAGGACCCAGGTTCAATCCTTAGCACCCGTGCCGCGGCTCACGACGGTAAGTAACCCGCTTCCAGAGGATCCAGCACCCTCACACAGACGGCCATGCAGGCAAAACACCAATGCACATAAAATAATAAATGCATTTTTAAAGTTTAAGAAGGCAGTTGGAGAGTCCGGCTGCTCTTGGGGAGGGGGGGGAGAGCTGGGTTTGAGTCCCAGCACCACATGGCGGCTCTCAGAAGAGGGCTCCTCCTCCGGGGGGCGGGGGGGGCTGGGTTTGAGTCCCAGCACCACATGGCGGCTCTCAGAAGAGGGCTCCTCCTCCGGCTTCTGAGGTACCAGAAATAAATGTGTGCGGGTGCACACGCAGGCCAGACACTCAGCGCTCTCTCTCACACAAACAAGCCCGGAAAAGCCGCACGTGGACCCTCAGCCTCCGAGTCTGAGAGCCCAGCTCAGAGCTCAGCTGGGTGACGGCTCTGGAGGTAAGGCGCTTGCTGAACAAACGCGAAGAGCTGAGCGGAGATTGTCCACCACCCACATAGCACCTGGCCAGGGCGGGCCGCCTCCGACACCCCTACTGCCGGGAAGAAGAGGCGGTGGGGCTATGAAGAGGGGAATGCCTGCAGCTCCCCGGCCAGCCGCCCAGGTGCCCCAAAAGGGCTGTCTCAAGTTAAGGTGGAGAAGACGCTCAGCCTTGGCCTCGTGCTCCTCCACACACCTGTGCCCGCTGCTCATGAGCACGCACAGCACTCACCGAGGCGGCACACGCCTGTAATCCCAGCACTGGAGAGGCAGGGGCAGACGGATCTCTGTGAGTTTGAGGCCAGCCTGGGCTACACAGTGTTCTCAGTTACACGGATTTATTATAGGACCTAATGTGGAACATTTTAAACCCAAATGTTCCTTTGAGAACAACACTCTGAGCCACAGAACAACTATAGGAAGCAAGTGAAGGGTTGTTCAGCGTGTGCAGAGGTGCAGCCTTTAACCCCCAGAACCGAAGACGGAGGGAGGGACAGAGCGGAAGAGGCGAAGCTGCCCGGGGCGGAGCATGGGGGGCTTGGGCTCACGCAGGTTCTGGGCTGCAAGACTACGAAGCGTGAAAACCAGAGCGGCCAGCGGGCGCACACTTGAGTTCAAGCGGTGTAGGAGACTTGCTGCTCGGCGAGCTGCGCTCCGAGCCAGGTCACGGGACCACGGGGCCAGGCGGGGCCGGGGTGGGGGTGAGGGGAAACGCTCTAAACAGCAAGCCGACGGGTGGAGGGAGGGCCGGGGGTTCGCGGCCTGGGCCCGCAGAGGAGACCGCGGGGCCGGGCCCCCGGGTGGGAGCCCCCGGCAGCCCCCCTGCCCGCACCCTCGGCCCTGAGACACGAGCTGGAACGGAAGTGGGGTTGACTCTGATCTTTGATCCCTGACAGTGAGGAGGATCCGGATGGCGTCCGCGAGGATCCGAGAGGCCCGGGAGGGAGACTGCGGCCACATTATGAGGATGATCCGGGTGAGGACTTTCGGGCCGGGGGACAGAGTGTGGAGGGGTGGGCGCAGCGCGGCCGGAGTGAGGGCCTGGGGCCAGGGCTGGGCCTCCGCTCCCCGCTCCCCGCTCCCCGCTCCCGGGGCGCCAGGGCCAGCCTGCCCTAACGTCGCCTTGGTACTCCCGCTGTAGGAACTGGCAGAGTACGAGAAACTGTCCCATAAAGTGAAGATCAACGAGGAAGGTGATGCGCTGTGCACCTGGGTCCTGACCGCGGCCGGGGTGGAAGGATGGGTTCCTAGAATGGGGCTAATCCGGTTCTCCCCGCCCTCACCTCCACTCTCCACAGCCCTGAGAGCAGATGGCTTTGGGGAGAACCCTTTCTTTCGCTGTTTGGTGGCAGAGATTGTCCCAGCTCCTGGGGATCAAGAAGGTAAGGGACCCTCCAGGCGTCCTCTGTCCCCCGAGTGTCTGTCGTCGTGGAAGCCTTACCCTTTCCTCTCACTTTCAGCGCCCCGAGTGGTGGGCTACGGGGTATACTACTTCATCTACAGCACGTGGACGGGTCGCAACGTTTATCTTGAGGACATCTTTGTGATGCCGCAATATCGGGGTACTGGCAGGGGCTGAAGGGTGGACACAGAGTACCCACAGACCCACGTGGACCCTCAGACCCCATTCCCTTCCCTGCCCCCAACCTCAGCCTATGGTTTCCTTTGATATCCACTTCAGCTCAAATAATAGTGCCTTCCCCCCTTCTCCACACAGGTCAAGGGATTGGTACCAAAATTATCAAAAAGGTGGCTGAGGTGAGCAAAGCTGTGGGGGTTACAAACTAGTTCCTCCCCAAACAAAAACAAAAACCAGCCAGTCAGCCAAACAAACCAACCAACCAAACCCGAGAATGGGGGTGTAGAGGTTGACTAAGGAGATGAGAAACATTTTCCTTTTTTCTTGTTGTTGTTGTACACAGGGTCTCTCTGTGTAGCCCTGACTGTCTTGGAACTTGCTCTGTAGGCCAGGCTGGCCTGGAACTCACAGGTCTACCTGCCTCTGCAGGAATGAAAAGTACACACAGCCAATGGCCGGCAACCCTTCTCTGTTGAGTCTGAGACAGTGCGTCTGTCTCTTCACCTGCAGGTCAGCCTGAATGAGGGGTGCTCCCAGTTCCGCCTGGCGGTCCTGGACTGGAACGAGAAGGCCGTTGGCTTGTACAGGTCTCTAGGAGCTCAAGATCTGACTGCATTGGAAGGCTGGCACTGCTTTGGGTTTGAAGGGGAGGCTATGAGGGCGCTGGCAGGACAGTGATGTCCCCTGGGGAGAGCTCTCACTGCTGTTGCCGCTCTGGGGTCCTGAGACCATCTCCACAGACGCTGAGCCAGACAGACACTCACCCAGAGGCCTCTGGGATGCACATTCCTCAGGTATAGAAAGAGGGGAAGTAAGGGCAAAGACTAGCAGAGGATGAAATGTACCGTGCTTGCTTTGCCCTGGTGTAGTATAGGGCAGAGGAGTGCATGACAGGATGCTCCTTTGGTTTTTCAGGTTGGAGACTTTTGCTCTGGTGAGGCAAGGGGGGTGGGGAGAGGGGGAGCCAGAGAGTTGGGAGTTGGGAGCACTGGTGGGCCCTAGCGACTTGGAGCACCCTAGTCTTAGCCTGTGAGAAAGAGAAAAGAGCAAGATCGTATAGGCATCTCAGCCTTGTCAGTCATCTGGGGCATCCAAAGGTCTTTCAGGACTGATGTGCCAAAGACCACAGACAACCTTCCATGGTCAGCTAGGTAGCTGTGACGGTGCAGTACTGGGGAGGCAGGGCTAGGAAAATCCCCTGAGCTCAGGGGTTCAGGGCCCACCGGGAAAATGAGGCCTGTCTTGTAAAAATAGATAAATAAATAAATAAATAAATAAATAAATAAATAAATACTGTCTTTATTACTAGTTTGACATCGCCTACACTAAAGTAAAACTAAACAAATCCAAAGCAAATTGT